GAGACTTCCCGGCCTTGGCCCAACTTTGCAACAGTGGGAACCCAGGGAGGGGAGACCGGGTCAAGGAGAAAGACCCACGCACACCTGTGGTCTAGACCACAGGGTTAAGAGAGAGGCAGGGCAATTGGGGGCTGAGGACTTTGAAGTCTAGGAAGTCAGACCCCGCGGAGTCCCCCCAGGGAAACAGCTAGGCATGTTTACCGCTGAGTCACGCGGAGTTAGGAAAGCTTGGTATTCCAGAGGAGGGTGGGGCCTGTCCGTGAGATGTTGCTCTGACCCAGGACTGCTGAATGGGGTGCCCAGGGCCACTAAGAGCTCAGTGTAATGGGATTTTTGGTTTGGTGATGTTTCTCCAAAGGCCGGCAAGAGAGAGACCTTCAGGGTCTTGGGCATTCCACAATGGATGGGCAGGCGGGGGCAGAGTGGGCAGTGCGTTGCTGCCACCACTGCCCCCACCGCAGCCATGGCAGGACCCAAAGAGCCATGACTGAAACCCATGGCCCTGGTGGGGAGCGGGGCTGGTTGGTGTAGTGTTCACCAGCAAGTCCTCAGCCCCCTGGCTGTGATGTAAGCCTGGCTTACTATAGAAGCGTAACCATACAACTCCAGAAGGTACGTGTGGCCTGTTCTCAGTACAGTAAGGTTGGAAATCCCATCTCCCACCTCCTGTACAGGTAGAGCAGGTGTATGTGCAGTGTCTTAATGGCTTGAGACAGAGTGAATTGCTCCACCTGCTACCCTGAAAGGTGATCTCTGGCAGTGGGCCCCAGGGTCCAGCCATGGCCCTGTCCTATCCAACATCCTTTTTGATGGCTCACATGAATGGACAAACATGCCCATTCTATTCAGAGACCCAACCCTGGACAGCCTCTGCTCATGTCCTTGAGACTTATCTTTAGCCAGGATGTGAGGCCAAAAGCAACGAAATAAAGTTGAAATCAGTGTGTGTTTGAAAACATTCAATTTCATACCTACCTACGGGGTAACATTTGTAGCCTTCCCTGTAATTCAAATTAAAAAAAAAAAATCCTGGGTTGTAGTTGACCACAGGCTTAATAGAAAGGAGAGAAAGATACAACCACTTAAAGATTTCAGCTAAGATAACCAAAGGGGAGGATATGAGAAGCCAGGGAGAGCCACATCCCAGCACGCTGCTCTGCGAAGCGCTGAGCCCTGGTTCTAAGCCCCGGCATCTGATCAGGGACTTAACTGGAGGAGAATCCCAAGAGAACCACCGAGGTGAGCAGGGAACTCTGGGAGCTGAGCCAGAAGAGTCCAGGAAGACCCAGGGGCCAGCCCTGGATCGAGTGGTGTTTGTTCTCGGAGGGGTGGACACTTCTGGATTGCCCCAAGGGTGACTACAGAACAACACTGTTCCAGGAGCAACCTCCCAACAGTGGCACGTGTCACCTCAAGGAGCCCTGGGCTCCCCGGCCCAAGCTTTGTTTCACAGCTCAGGGGCCAAAGGTAGGGTAGCATAGGTTTTCATACTCGATTCCATGGTCATCTCTTCCAGCTGGAATCCTACACCAGGTTAAAACTTATCTCCCACTGCTTCCCAGGCCGTGGTATAAGGAAGATGTGGGGAAGGAGGATGGGGCTGTGGAGGCAGTGTGCTACGTAGGAGGGATCCCTCCCTGGGCACGAGGGATCTGAACACATCAGCCGAGACTCTGCCTTGAGGGAGAAGCAGCCGGAAGCTGCCAGGAAGTAGAACTGCTGTCCCTCATGGGTCATCCTGGCCTTTTTCTTTCAAGCTGTTTGCCATTGCAGCAGCTGAGCTCTGGGCAACAGGGCTTCCTCCCCTGACTGCCTAACAGGATGCCAGTGCGTGGAGGACACAGGCGCCCACAGCACAGCCGGCGTGGCCATGGGCGTGCGACGCAGTGGCCCGAGCTGGAGAAAGCGTGGCCAGTCGTAGTTGCTGTCCAGATAGGGTGTGTGGTTAAGGGCAGAAAAGACGATAAAGCCATTTGCCTTCTACTTCCATGCCACCGGCACATTGCAGGTGGACAAGCTGACCTTCCCCCAAAACACCTCACCTGGGCCCAGAGCAGAACATGGCCCCAGAGGCCTCAGACCAGAGAGAACGCGCCCTTGGCTGGCTTCCCTGGGCTCCCCCAGCCCTGGGCCTGGCCTGGGCCCTCCTCTATCGGGCTTCTCCAGGGCTGCTTTCAACGCAGTGGGGTTGTATAATAACAGTGATTAGAGCTTATGGCTTTTTTCCTCTCTTCATCTTTTGCTTTGAAATTTGTTGAGGTCTCTCATTAAACACGGCGATCCTGGTAAAGTCAGCAAAGATTTAATAAGACATTTCTTAAAGCTGAAGACAGCCTCGTCAGATTGGATGTTGACTGTGGTCTCCCCGGTGTTGATTTTACATCCTATTGGGTGCAGTTGGTGCCTGGGTGAGGGAGAGGGAGGTACCAGGGTCCTGGGGGCACCTGACTGAGCTGCACAGTTGGAGAAACATGCCACACTATGCCCTCAGCTGTTTTCACTTGCATCAAGAGCCTGGTGCATTTGAACCCCTGTGCCAAAGAGAACAATGCAAACTGCAGAGCAATGACACTAACTCACGACAGGCTAAGTTAGAAATGGAGACAAAGAACGCACACAAATCTCAACCCAACCTTATTCTTACCTGCAGCAAAAGTAGTGGGGAAATTCTGATGGGGTCTCTGTCCTGGGTGATGCTAGAAAGCTCCAGGGCATCCCTGGTTCTAAATACATCAAGGAGCCGGCTATTCTTATGATCCAAGAGCCACACACTTGATGGAGACTTCCTGGGTAAGAACACACCTTCACACACCATTGTTTGCTAGCCCTCAATGCCAGCTTGTGTGGCTCGTGCCCAGGCCTGTAGGACCTTGTGAGCAGGAATGTGGGTTGTTGGGTGGTGGCCACCGCAGCTTCCCAACCTACGCTTCAGCAGCTCCTCCCCAGCCCTGGGGCCAGGGTTTCCTTCGCTTCTGTGTTGCCCAGGAGCTGGACAGGTAACCGCACCAGGAGGTGCACCCTGCTCCAGCAGGCATGCTTTGGGGAGTCCCCTGTCTGGCCTTTGGCGGTTGGCTGGCCTGGGCCATGCAGCCTGCCCTTCACTCTGATGATAACCAGTCACCTTGTTGCTTATGCCACTCGAGAGGGAGAGGAACCGGGTGTGACCGGGTAACACTGCCTGGAGTTCAGCATCAGAAACCTGGCCGCATTCTCGCCTGCTACCAAAACCAACCTTTGTCCCCTGAGAACGGCATCCCTTTAGTGCCCACCAAAATACTGAGACCCGAGTAAGCCCCAGACAGGCAGCCCCAGGTGAATTCCACTGTCAGAGTCCGCATAAGACCCTGGGCAAGTCACTCACGTGCCTGACGGGGACAGCAAAGCCCGCCTGTCACCCAGGGTCTCTGTCAGCACTAAATGAAGGCATGATGGCAACAGAGCTCAGGGTCTGATAATATTACACAAGGGATTTCATAAAGTTCCTGGAAATGCAGATAAGAGGTTTCTTTTGGTGTGAAAATCGTTTGCAATTCATGCACCATTTTTTTTCACGACCCACACTGTCCACAAACTTTGGAAACCCTGTGTATGCACGGATTTCAAGATTTTTTTTTTGCACCAACATAAACCACCTTGTAATTCCATATTCCATGAGCTTTGTGAAGCGTCCCTGTCCTGGGCTTGGGGTCTGCTGCAGCTGTGCCACTGGTGGTGAGGCAGGCAGTACCTGAAAGCTTCCGTTTGGTCTGTTAAAGGGCGAGGTGAGTACCTGATGCAGCTGGGGAAGAGAGCCACGAGGGGCAGCGCCTTCGGTGCGATTTCCCGATCTCTATCGGTGCAGTGTGGTCTGCAGCCCCTGCCTTGCTCTCATCTCACCCCCCTGTTTAATTTCCAACAGTGTCCTGGGAGGTGGGGGTCACGGTGTTTGCTTTGCAGATGCGCAAGTTGAGTCTCGCAGAACCACGAGTGCAAGGCGCACGTATTACAGCGAGCAGCTCATGGTCACTACTCAGTGACAGCTGGCCATGGCTATTGGCCTGTTTCAAAGCCAGCTCAGAGAGCTGGTTTCCTTGTGTTTCCCTGGGAGCTCAGGACCTGTGGTGCCCAGCAGGCTAGCTACTGCTTCGGAGTCAATTTCTGGGGACCCCTGAGCACTCTCCAGGGGGCTAGGGCGTGTCAGCAGGGAAGTGGGGACAGCTACAGGCAAACCATGTTTGTGTCAGGATCTGGCACAGAACCCCAAGGTGCTGCCTGTGCTAGACACAGATTGAGAAGCAACGACAGCTCAACCCCTGATCGGAGCATGAAATGCAACCCTCCACACTAGCCTTCTGCATGATGGAAGCCTCACTCCCACACTCAGCCCTCACCTGCCGACCTGCACGGAGCCATCCTGAGCACTATGACCTCAGCAAGTCCAGGGGCTCCATCTGCCCCAGCGCCAGAGGTTTCCACATCTTAAGCAGTGAGAGCCCAGTGGGGTTGTGGGAGGAGTCAGAAGCAAGTAGCAGGGGATGTTCTGAAATCTCTCCACGGACCAGATGCCCCTGGGGTGTGCGCTCCCACTGCTTGTAGCCCTGACAGAAGCAGAGAAGCCATTTCGTGGACATGAATGGCTTTGGCCTGGGAAGAATTCAGTTTGTAATGCGATGCGTTTCAAGGTAAATGATGTACGTTTGCAGTATCCGTCAATGATTGGCGTCTTGGGAGTTGATATAAAACCTGATAGCCAATCATGTGCTGGCTTCCGCACCTTGCATGAGATGCTTTTGTGTGAGGCCGCATTGGGACCACGCGCAGGAGCACGTGGCCCAGCCTGACCCGCACCTCCGTGTGTGCAGCCTAGGGTGCCTGCGTGGCCTGCTGCTTCTCGCACAATGCGCATGCCGTGGCAGCTGTGTGCATGTCTGGGCAGGGGCTCCCCTAAAAGGCACAGGTCTTCACGGTTTCAGCTGGATAAGTTATTCTTCACTTCCCTTCCCCGAAACACAATTGCCTAGTGCTGCTGGCGCAGAGTCAGAATGGCCGCTGCATTTCAGCCCCGAGGTGGCTTCCTTCCAGCAGTGGGTGAGTGACCCCGGCGTCCACGCCCTCCAAACCTGGGCAGTGCTTCCACACGGGAGACTCTCCCAAATCCGGCCTCGGCTCTGCCCGGCGCTCCTGTTCTCACACAGCCAGCCACCCGCACTCCTTTCCTGGTGTCCCCGTTTACTTTGTCCCCTACGCTGTGCATCTGAGATACAAGGTGCTGAGCGGTCCGGGAGTGATGGTGGGATGATTCCTTGTCTCAGACTCTAGGGATGCAAATAACATCCCTGGGCTTGGAGCCTGTCGCTTATTCCTCCTGGCCCCCAGGCCCTAGCAGAACGGGGCATAAACACTTGCTTCCTTTCACGATGCCTTTCCGCCCCACAGCAGCCTCCCTTGGCTTCCTCCCTGGCCTTGAGCACCCCCAACCCTTCCTAACCCTGCGGCCCAGGCCCAAGTCCTACAGGAAACTCAGAAAGAAGCTGACATCTCCACAGAGTAGACCACCAGGGCACAAGGCAGCTGTCCATCCACTGACCCTTGGAAACCAAAGGCATCTCAGCCACAGGGAGGAGGGCTTGAGGGAGGCAGGAAGGTCTCTGGGACCAGGCACCTCCTGCAAGGCTGCTCACCTGTTCCCTGCTGTTAGGAATGCGTGTCTGGGAACTGCCTGCTGAACTCCATTCCTGGCGGCAGGGAGAAGAGGGAAACGGGTGGACCACTTTGCGTTGGTCCACTCGGCTATCCACTGCAGTATTAGGCTTTGTTGTTGGCAGGAGAGGGGTGGGCAGCAAGTCGGCTCCCTGGGCTGCTGGCTTAGCCAGGAACCTCACCCGACGTAGGTCTTTGAGTGAACACAATTGCAGGAGGTGAATGGTGCCCTTGGGGGTGGGGAATCCTCGAAGGTCATGGGCATTGCCTCGCAAGTCACTTCCCCTTGCCTCTTTGTCCACACGCTCCAGTCACTAAACTTTAGCTGCACACTCCCCTCTGGTCACAGAAGAGGGTAACTCCAACTTTCTAGCTGGAACAAAGTAGCTATGTGGTTGCCAATAGCAACACAGCCATGTCCCTATTTCCTGGAGTCTTTTGGCTGTTGCCTGATGTGGAGTGAACCAGAGCTTAGATGCCCAAGTACATCTGGGGAGGGGAGGGAGATGGAAGGGAGCCGAGTGCGAAGGAGCAGCGGGGCTGCTGGGTTGGGATGCGAGGAGAGAAGAGCGATCTGGCGGTAAATGGGGGCATTTCTGCCGCACAGCAGTGCAGAGGGGCAGGGCAAATGGAAATGTGCAACTCGGGAAGGAGGCCGGGGAGTCAGCGCCTGGGCATTCTGCCACCAGCGCAGGGCTCAGCTGCTGAGCCCTCGTCACTGCTGGCATCCTTGCCCCATTCCAAATCTGTCCCTGCACAGCTGGGCGGAAGATGGAGGAAGGCCTCCTGTCACTCACCAGCGCTGACAGGAGGAAGTCGGCATCAGCAGAGCCCTGTGATGAGCGTGATGAGGGACGGGAGGCAGATGTGCCAGGAGCACCCTCCAGGGAGGGCGTCCCCAGCCTGCCTGGGACACCTGAATCAGCCACTTGGCCGAGAATGATTGAAGTAAGGTTGGTTCTAACTTGGCCATGGCTGCTCTGCCCACCTTGGAAAGGTAAACGCCGCACCTGCCTCTCACCCGACTGGAACGGTTGCTATGGGAGACCCCAGCATTCACACCAATAACACAGAACCACAAACAGAAAATGGACTTCACCTGGCCTGTGCAGCAGCCACTGCAGGCCACGTGGCCCACACCCCAGCCCAACACAGCAGCCAGAGGCGCCTTCTGCCAGGCTGGTCAATGAGAAAGTGGTGCCTCCTTTCCCAAGATTCTAGATGTGGTGAGGGGATGCCCCTCCACTCACCTGCCGGGGGCGCAGGTGTGCTTGGGAGCTGGTTCTTTCTTGTTAAGGTTGAGAAATATCCTTGTGCACTGCCCAGAGAGGTGGGCTCCTGTGTTGCCATGGAGGAGCCCATGGTCCCCAACCAGACTCATCTGCCTCCTTCCATGAGGGTCACAGCCACACGGAGTCTGGGCCATGAGTGCCAATCAACGGGCTCTGCCACTCACCAGTGTCTGCTCCTAGGCAGATTCCTTAGGGTCTAAGCAAGGCTGGTGCAGGCTAAAAGAACACCCAAGTTCAAGGGCATGGCAGCCATGAGTGCAGGTGTCTGTAAAACACATCGACCCACAGTAGCGGCTCAACAGTCAGTGGACCTGTGGCTCCAAGTAGCTGTCCTTGGCACCCAAGCTGGGTCTCTGCCACAGTCAAGGCCTGGGTGATTTACAGAAGAGGACACTTGCGAAGAAAGGGTATGGGAGAAATCCACGCCATCCCGCTGGGCAGGAGTAAGAAATGCAAAGAGATGATAGGCCCTGGAAGCTAAGGAGCCGGGCTGATGCTTTGACATTTAATCAGATCAGAGGCTGGCAGCTCACCTCCTCTAATTCACAGACAGAGAAAGCACGGGCAGTTGCCAGCACAGCACACAGCACACAGCTACTGCCGCCCCGGGATGTTTGGATGACGCGATTGCTGCATGGGTTGTCTCCACCATTTAGATGGCAAAACCTGGTTGTCTATGCTACTATATATCAGATGCTTCAAGAGAATCCATTTTTCAAAACTCATTTGAGAAACAGCAAGCTCCCATCTGTGAATTCATTGCTCAAGTGCCCACCACATCCAGGGCTGGGCCAGGGCCAAAACCAGGAGCCAGGAACTCAATCCTAGTCTCCCACATGGGTGGCAGGGACTCGGCCACTTGAGCCATCACTTCTGCCTCCAAAATCTTGCCAGAAGGGTGCCTGAGCTGGGTATCAAGCTCAAGCCCTCCTACACGTACATGAGCGTCTTAACAGGCATCAACCAGCAAACCAAATGCCCACCGGAATCCATTACTGTTTTGATAATATTCCTTATTTTTCTTTACAGGTTTAGGTTTAAATATACATGAATGTTTTTTCAGCTAATGGATTTTTTTAATTCAATTTCCACCTATCCCTTGATTTTCTAAAAAAAAATTTTGGTGTCGTTTTATGGTTGTAATATATCTTCTTATAAAAAACAGAGAATTTTTTTAAAACCAATTAAATGCCCTTCAACCCCTGAGAGAGATCAGAAAGCTTGGCAAGGACCAAGGAGTAACACAAAACCCAGGAACAGATCTTGCCACGGGGCTCTCGTCCCAACTCACTGTTGACAGGTGAGGAAACCAGAAACATCTCTCTTCCTCCCTGTGCTGCCCTGGCCGTGCTCTGCTAGGGATCAGCTGTGCATGACCTTCGGCTGGTTCCATAACCTGGCTTTTCCACTGCCTCGGCCCCATCTGGCTTCACAAAGTTGAATGGAGGATGGTGAGCTACACACTTGAAACATGTTTGGAAAGTCAGAGTTACAGAGAGTGAGCCAGCAAGCTCCATCGGCTGGTTCTCTCCTTAAATGGCTGCAATGGCCAGGGCTGGGCCAGGATGAAGCCAGGAGCTTCCCCTGGGTCTCCCACGTGGGTGCAGAAGCCCAAGCACTTGGGCCATTTGCTGCTGCTTTCACAGACACATTAGTAGGGAGCTGGATCAGAAGTGGAGCAGCTGGGACTTGAACCAGCAACCATATGGAATGCCGGTGCTGCAAGCCATGACTTTAACCTGTTGTGCCACAGCAGTGGCCTCAGTGTTTCCATCTTAAGTATGGCTTTTCCTACCGTGTCCTGCCACAGTTTCTCAGAAGCCTCAATCATCCCAAGCTGATGGCACAGAATTCCTTTGTGCTCTTTAATTTGTATTTATTTGAGAGAGTAGAATCTCTCACCCGCTGGTTCACTGGAGCCCGGAACTCAATCCACTTCTCCCACCTGGGTGGGAGTATTTAGGCCATCACCTGCTGCCTCCTAAGGTACACATTAGCAAGAAGCTGGAATCTGGAGTGGAGCCAGGACTTAAACCCAGGCACTCCCACACAGGATGCAGGCAGCCCAACCAGGGCCTTACCCATTGGCCAAACACCTGCTCCTATACTTTAAAAAATCATTCCTTTTGCTTTTCTCAGTGGAGAAGGGGCACCAGGAGCACCAACCTTCAAGGAGTCAGCTGATGAGTTTAGGCAGGTCCTTGGCTTCTCTCCTTCCTGCCAAACCCCAACCGGAACCCCCAACCTTGCCACCTGGCTGTTAGGCTCCTGACTATGCCCCCTCAGCAAACCTCCTGCCCAGGCCTGTGGCCCACCCAAGTGCATCCTTTATGAACTTGAGTGTGCTCTATTCACAGGTGACTTTTAACTCCCTCGGTGGGCCACAGGTCTTTGGAGCCTTCCGCTCTCGCAGAGGTCACTTGTTGGCCCCTGTCCAGCCCAACACCATTCTTCACTAGCAAGGAAAGACAGCAGTGCCTGGGTGACACATGCAGGGGACCAGCTTGCCTGTGTGGCAGCTAGAAATAGCGTTCCTAGTTCTCCCTCCCTACGGTCTCCTTCCCCGCGCAGAACAATCTGGGTATCTCCTGAGCTGGTGGGGAAGGAAAGGCGAGCACTGAACTTCTCCAGCGGCAGCAGATGAGCCCAGCAACCGCCCAAGAATGAGGGGAGAATCCCAGGGCCGAGCTGTGAAAGCCAGGATTTACTTTTTCTAATCATTTTCTCTTTTGAGGTATAATTGCACACGGTGAAATGAACAGATCTGAAGTGTGCGGTTCAGTGAATTTAACAAATGTATGCACCTGCGTAACCTATCCCCTATCACCCTGGAGAGTCCCCTCACGCTCCCTGGCAATCAGTTCCATCCCTCTCCCCCCAACAGGCAACCAGAGTTGGTTTCTCTCCCTAGAGTAGCCTGCATTTTGCCTCAGTGGACTCGAAACCTGCGAGTCTGGTCTTAGGTCATCTGGGCCAATCAGCGAGAGAAATCCCATCAGCAACTCAGCTGTCTTTCCTCGCTTAGCCCCTAGTGCTTGGCTGTGCTGCCCCCAATAAGCCATCTGACCCCCTGGGCTCCTCTCTGAGCCACAGCCCTCCTCCCAGCCACAGAATTAGCATCAGCGTCCCAGGTAAGTAAGGGGCGACCGCTCTGGGTAACCCGGATCGTGCATGCTTTGTTGATTAATATCTGGAAGCGCAACGCAGAGCGCCCCAGCATGTCAAGCAGCATGTTGATTTTTCTCAAAGCACTGCACAAAAGGGAGCGGCTCCTTTTGTGCCTTTCCTTTCCAGAATAAAGCAGTGCGTGCCCGCCTTCTTCTAGGCTTCAGCCATCGTCAAGATGGCCACAGAGCCAAACTGACTTGTCAGGGTGGAGGGTGCAAGCAGAATGCGTGGGTGTGCGTGTGAACCCAGCACCGAGCCCGCAGCCCATGAACTTGAAGGTCCGGTGTCTGTTGCATTACACGTTGCCAACTGCCTCAAAGGTGAAAAGCGCTTTGTATGCGAAGCTTTGGTGTCTCTGGAATGTACCTTCTGCAGCTCAGTTCTCAATCACGGCGTATTCTTTCACTTGGACAAAAGCTGCCTGCTAGTAGCATTTTCAACCACCCTCAGCTGCTCCACTCAGCTCCGCCAAGGCCTCAGGCTGAGCTGGCTGCAGTCTCCTGGCACCATGATCCGTTCCCAGCTGACCAGCACTGAGTAACATCACGCATTCACACTCGGAAAAAAAAGCCGCCTCCTCTGTAACTATGCAGGTGCCAGGCACAGGCAGCATTACCCCTCCCCTCCTGCGTGGTTCCTTTAGAATCGCCCCAACTGGAGGCAGGGGTGGGAGCGAAGAGGAGAGAGGAAGCAGCCCTAGGGAGCGCAGGCAGGAGCTCTCCTTTATCTGGGCAGAGCAAGGACAACCACTCCCCTCGCCCAGCCCAGAGGGGCATCTACCTGGGCAGCTCATCTCTGAACACAGGGGGTCTCCGCTGTCAGCTTTCACTTTGATCCCTGAAAACCACGGGAGCCTCCGCTCTTCAGACGGGAGGCAGCTGCTGAGCAGGTGTGAGTTTTACAGGATTTCTGCCCCCGAGCCCTGGGCCAGGCATCCAGCCCTGCCTGGCTCCTGCATGACTGACCGTCTTCCAGCCCATGCCTGCCCTGGCTCACCAAGGGGTCACGGTGCAGTGGGTAGACGGCCGCTGGGCCGACCTGAACTCTCCTGACCTCCATCTGTAGCAGAACTGGCATTTGGTACATGTGTGAGCACAGCACGGGGAACAGGGAGAGGAAAATGCAGCACACCTGGGGTGCTGAGAGCAGGGGCACAATCCCAGGCTGGTCTGTGCCCCCTCCCCGACCCTCAGGTCCCCGGAAATGGCAGCTGCCAGGGTGGGGGAGTGGGGAGGTGGGGGAAGGGCAGCAGTGGCAGGTCTGCGAGTCAGAGCTGCAGAGACAGAGTTCCAGGATTTAGGCAGGAAGAGATTAATTAGCACCTCCAAGCCCAGCCCAGTCCAATCCTATAGAACTGGGAGAGCTCGAGGTTAGGGGAGTCTCAGGGCCAAATTCTCCTAAAACCAACTCTCACACACACCCCTCCAGAAATAGAAACTGCAACCCTCCTCAACCCTCAGTCTCATCCATAGCCACAATGACCTCATTAATGAGAATGAAGCCATAATGAGGGTCTGGGCAACTGGTAAACCTTGCATTCTTTGTTTCTGGGCTTTTAACATACACATTAGCAACAAATTACTATGCAGAAGCCAAAGTGATTTCTTTTTTGTCTCACATCCTCCTGCTAAGTCAGAGCCCCAAATACCCCATATACCAACCCAGAACACATATTTGGGTGCAGGCTCTGTCACTGTGGCCCTGATGGAGGAGGGAGGGGAAAGGGGCAGGGGCCTGCTGTATCCAAGAGAAAAGTACAACTCCTTGATGCTTTCCTTAGAGGCAGAGATGGTAGTAGGGGCAGGGGTTGTAAGAGCTCTCACACCAGGAGGCCCTACACTCAGCGGCCCCACTCCCACATACAGGCTTCCTGACATCAGGCCTGCACCAACCAGGCACAGCCCAGGTGAGCCAGCAGGGTGACAAACACCCGGTGCTATGCAAGGAGGGACACTCAGGGCGCACACCAGGCAGGTGTGTGCCCAGAATCCGGCTCTGCAGGGGAGGCCTCTCAAGAGTTACTGTCGTGCCTGCCGCTCTAGACAAATGGAGAGCCATCCTGGGGTAGTGATTTACAAAGACTGAAACCGTAACCCTCTAGGATTAAAAACAAAATCTGATTAAAAAATCCTTACCCTTGTATAAACCCATCCTACTGGAGGCTGAGTCCGGTGCATTGGAAGAGTCAGATAAGGGTGCTGATGGGCAGATTGTGTGTGTGTGTGTGTGTGTGTGTGTGTGTGTGTAGACAGGAGAAAATGAAAAGTTGTTGTCTTGCTAGTCCAAATGGGAAATGCAAACAAGGGGAGAAGCAGAGCAAGGAGACTCTGGGTGCTCCTGAAGGCAGTTCTGCCTCCCATCCACCACCAGGATTCTACAAGTCAGGCTGGCCATGTCCTCTACGGAAGCCTTTGCCCCGTGACACGCTGTCCTGCATCCAGCAAACCCACCGCCCGTGCAGTTGGCTTATCAGATGCACCTGTTACCCATCAAGTCATCCATCAGCAGGCTTATTGAGTAGCCTACTGGGCTTCACAGACCTGATCAATTCTGTTTAATTGCACTCAGCTTTCAGACAGCCAGGCCCAGGCAACGGGCCCCCTTGGAAATGAACACAAGGAAGTGCTAGCCCTTGAAATACGCCCCCCACACACCGAGGCCGAGCTGAGGGGCCCTCATAGCCTGCCCTTCCCAGATGGCACTGCTGTCATTGACTTGCTGTCAACCATGGGATGGGCTGTGTTTTTCCGGAGACGGTGATGGATCTGCCTGGGTCCAGGTGCCCTCTCCTGCCGACCCCCGTGCAGTGCTGTGCATTTCTGCTGGGGGTGAGCCTGCCGTGTCCTCAGCATCCCCCAGCTCGCTGCCGGGCCCTGAATTCCCCCTCCAGGGCATACTGGACTCTCCCAGGCCCTTTCTACCTCACGGTCCAGTTTTTGGTTTGTTTCGGAGAAGAAACTGCCACGTGGGTTCTAAGTGAAGGGCTTGTAGACTTCCTGGTGGGGAATTAGGAGACCCAGCCTCTTGCTGTGACAGATGGGGAGCCAAGAACTTAGCAGACAGCTGCAGCATCCCACCCTGAGACCTGCAGGGGCTCTGAGCTCCAGCAAGATGCCCCAGTCACTTCTACAGTCCTAGATGCTGCCATCCAGGGGCCCCTCAGCCTGCACTTGGAGCACTTTGTAGGTCATCTGCATTCTTGAGAACGCTAATCCACTAGTTTCTGATCACCCAAATTCTTAGCTTTCATTCATTTGAATCAGCCCACCCTTCCTGGTCCCAGCTTCCCCAAGTTCAGGTTTTCCTCCTCCTTGTAAATAAAATCAAATTCAGGGGCAGCCCAGAGGCATTGAGAGATGTTCTACCCGAGCTTTTAGATGCCTGGCTTGGGGTAAGTAAAATCCCATACCTCAAAATGAGTCCAGCACACACCCTCACTCCCTCAACCTGCCCTGGGGTCCTGGTTTCCCCAGCTGTCCACAGGGAAGGCTGCCATACCCAGAGACCCAAGGTCAAGGTGGTCAGTTGGGTTGGTTCGTTGTTTGGCCTCAGGGGGACTTGTGCCACAATTAACTCACCTGTCTGGCTCTCTGTCTCTGTCCCTGTGTGTGTGTGCGTGTGCACGCCCGTGCGTACCTCTCCGTCCCTGTCTCTCTGCAGGGAAAATCGCTGGCGGGGAAGCGATTCACCGGCCTGACCCAGTCCTCCTGAGCGTCCCCACCGCAGCGCCCGGGCCCGCGGACCCCACGGGCAGGCGGCGGCGCTCCACGTCCACGGACAGAGTCTCCTTGAGGGGAGATCTAGTCACGGTGAAGGAGAAAGAGTGAGGACGACAGAAGCAATGATGGGGAGACGTGGTGGGTGAACGGGAAGACCAGAAAGAGTTGGTCCCCGGAGCCTGGGGGCGACCAGGCAGACTGCTGGTTACGTCCCCCTCTCCCTTGTACAGCTGGGCGCCAGCACTCTGCTCTGCAAGACGCCCTTGCATCTGACTCATCCAGGGGAGAATGCCTCGCAGGGCTCCCGTGGCGAGGGTCGCCCGAGTTGTATTCTGATTATGCTCGCTCCCCTCGCCGGCTCGGGGACCATACCTTCCGGCAAACCCAAGAGGGACGAGAGGAGGCTGGGCACATCCAGTAGTATTACGCAGCAGCTCCGCGCTCTCCCGCCCGTGCACCCACAGCACCTGCCTAGTTGCGCCATCCGCCTCCCTTGTGTCTCTTGCAGCCACCCGGCTCTAACAGGGCTGCCCGCGCCAGACACCGCTCTCGTAGTAAACGTCCACCCACATCTCCGGCACTAAAGAAGCGGCAAAGACGGCTCCAACCCATGTGCTTGTTCGCCCGGCCCCATCCTTTGGGAGTGGTCTCCGCCAGCCTGGGAGCTGCCCTGGGGCCCAGCCCTGGAGGGAGCCCCTCTGCAAATGAAGGAACTTGGTGAGCAGTCCTCGAGGGCCTGTGTCCACCTTTTAAGAAATTATTATCTCATCGTTTACTCTGTTTTTTTGCCCCCTTGCGCCTTGGTTTGTTTTACTCAACATAGACATGGCCACAGGCTCAGGGGCCATTGGGATTCTCCCCTCTGGCAGCCCCATGTGGAAGCTGGGAGAGACCTCAGCCCCAGAAGGTGGCTGGATTTCAGGGCTGGCAGCCCCCACCTGCATGGCGTCATCCTGACAGGCACATGGCCAGACCCTCACTGGGTCAGGTCGCATATATCTGAAGCAAGTGCGAGGTATGCTGCAGAGCGACCAGGCCAGCCCCACGTGGTTCCCTTCCCAGTCTTGCTCCGAAGGCCCAAAGCACTCCATGAAACAAAGTGGGTTGTGTAGGAGAAAGCAAAACCTGCAAAAAATTCCTGTGTTCCCTTTGTATGTCCCCAGTGGCTGTGAGGTCATATAAGCGAGGCACCTGCTCAGATGCCTGACGCACAGTAGGTGCTAAGCGAATGGTAGTAAATACTGTCACCACTGTCCTTGTTATTATTGTGACACCAGTGAGCCCTTGGAGAGAGCTGTGTTAGGAGTCTGTTTTTGAATCCAGATGCTACCTCCCCAGCTCGCCATCAGGAAAACTCCCCCACCAGCGTATATAAACAAACGACGTAGGAGCAACACCATGATCACTGCTCCTCCTCTAGGGTAGACAAACCCACCGGCCGGCAGCCCAGGATTCATGGGCTTGTTGGAAGTCCCAGCCTCCTCCTGGCTACTCCTCCATCACATGTTCTGCCCCCCTCCAAGCCCTGCCTGCACCTGCTCTGCTCCCCGCTCCTCACAGCGGAGCCGCCACAGGCATCAGGCGACTCCACCACGGATGTGTCTTCACCGCTCCACAGTCTCCCCCCCAGCAGTGGTTCCTCTCTCTTGCAGATACAGTGGAAGAAACCAGAGAGGGAACGTACAAGGTCACTTTAAAAAGTTTGTGGAAAATGCAATTAAAAGAGCAGTTTGGTTTTAGTGCAAAGAAGGTTGAAATCCCTGCACATGACTGCAAAATGCATAGCCTGAAAAAAAATTATGCATGGGGTTTCAGAATTTCTGGTACCAAGATAAGCACCTTTTAATTCCATTTTCCACAAACTTTGGAAGGACCCTCAGCGTGTGACCTCAGAGTGTCTCCAAGGGTAGCAGTTTGGATCCAGATTCCTGTCAGATGCTCCTTCCTGCTCAGCACAGAGTTGGACTCTGTAGACACTTAGTACCTAGTTGAATGGTAAATGTACCTAGTAATTGTAAATGTACTTAGTACCCAGTAAATGTAAGTACTAGGTACTTAGTACCTAGTTGAGCAGTAAATGGACACTGTGAAGCCTTCTCCCAAGTTATGGGGTCTTTCACTCCCCTTTCCTGGTTCCACCCTCCTTCATTCCCTTCCTCTTTTTCGTACACACCTCCCATCTGAGGACAAATGACAATCCAAGCTTATCTGCACCCAGCATCGCCCACAGCAAGCTCCTCCCTCCCAAGAGCCCTAGGCCATGCCAGCTCTGAGGCCTAGGATACATGGAACGAGGGTATCCCAAGCAGTAGGCACCTCTGGGCCATTGGGTATTCAGGACAAAGGGTCTCACTGCTTCCTGCTGCCCTTCCCCCTCCACAGGCTGCAGACATGGCAGGGTGGCTGTCCCAGCCATGACTCCTCTACTCTGTCTCCCTTTGACCCTCAGCTGCTGCTCCTGAGCTATGCTGGCCTGAGACCTGGCCTCATCCTGGAGGTTCCCAGAGGGCCACCCGCTGCCCTCAAGCCAGGTGGACTGTGGCCCTGAGATGGAGCAGGCTGGAGGGTCCCGGACACCTCCGGGGATACCCAGAGGGGAGGGAGGGCTCAGTGGAGGTCAGAACTTTCAGGTTGATTCAAAACCACAGCAATAAACCCCTCAGGCCCAGCCCCTAAGGAAGGCAGGTTTGACCCCCACCTCATGCTCCATAACAGATCAAGTGAGAGGCTTCCAAGAAGGGAATGGAACAAGTTGTTCAAGCCAAGCTGGCCAGTTCAAGGTCAGTCTATCGTGTACCTGCTAACGCAAGTACATTGGAAAATCCGATCTGATCTTCCACTTTGGACGGCAGTTTGATAGCAAAGCAGAGGCCCCTGCCCCATGCTGCCCCCCACCAAAAAAAAAACTACCTGGGCTCCCCTGACTGGGTGTGGCCTCTGGACCCAAGACTCCTCCCCACGGGACAAACAGCATCTTGGCAGCCTCACAGCCGGAGCATCCGGGCATCCTTAGCAAGGAGACCGCCCACCCATCAGGTCAGACACACAAAGGCACCAAAGCATGGGGCCTCTGCCCACACAGGGAAAGGCTATTTTTGTCAGAGTACAGCTTGCAGGTTGGCGTGAATAAATGACCAGCAGCCGCCAGATGGCCTGAGCAAGCGGCAGAACTCTCTGGGCTGGGGAGACGGCTCCTGCACGTCCCGAAAGCGATGCATCTGCTTTGTTCTCCTGGGCAGGTGTTGCTGTACCCAGGAGCGAGGCGGGGCCCAGCTGCCAGGGCAGGCCCCCGAGCCCGTGCTGCAGACTTTCCCCTTCTGAGAAGCCAGGTAGCAGCCAGCGTCCCAGGAGGGGCTGCTTTCTGGACTAGCTGAACACAGGGGGACAGGCTATGAGGCTTCTGCCCTGGCAGGATTCCTGGTATGTTCAAACTACCTCACCCCAGGACACTGAACCAGGAGCCTGCCACCCACGTGGCCCCCTTGCTGGTGGTGGAAGGCCGTGCGTTTCATAAAATGCATCCTCCTCCCCATTCTGTTCCAAGTGCATGGGCTTTGGAAGCCACCACCAAGAGCCTCCCCCGAAAGTACAAAGGACTGAGGGCTGCTGGTCTTGGGGCCTTACAGGGCTGAGCTTCCAGCAAGATCCAGGAGCTGGGAGGGTGGGGGTGGGAGGGGGAGATACGGTGCCACCAGCCTCTACGTATGCAGCAAGGACCATGGGCAAGAGTGAATGGTGGCCAAATGAATCACTAATAACTCACCGCAGGACCCTCTGAAAGAGGCCTGTGCTCCTGTAACCATGGCAACAGCAGACGCCAGCAACCAACTCATCAGTCCCTCCCAGTGATGAGGCATCCCGCCTGCCGCGAAGTAGCAAAGTAGCAAATGTAGCAATAAGGGGACTGGGGGCCATGGAGGGACCGGGGCCAAACGGCCCGGCCTCAGCCGTCTCCCCTGCCCCCACGAAGGCTCAGAGCCAGCTGTCCGGGGAAGGGACCCTGCTCACGCCGAGGGCTCCTGTCCCACCTTCTGTGCCCGGTCACCGCATGATCACGGACACGCCGGAACAGCCTCCTCCTAGTGCATGTGGTTCTCATTAGTTTATTTTTCTGGAATTTGGGGATCAGACCCCAGAACCAAACATGCTAATAACAGTGAAAAAAATAAATGACTTGAACCCACTACAATACAGCTAACTCTGTGTGATTTCTTGGTTTGGGGATTCATGGGGCAGAATTTACGTCTAGGGAAAAAATGTACCGCCCCTCCTTACTCCCCCCCCCCCCGCCCTTTCCCTCCTTCCCTCTTTCACTCTCTCTCTCTCTCCCCACCCCTCCACGCACACACAGTCTGTTCCCCTCTCACTCCCAAGCAGGATGCAGTGCAGCTCAGTTTAATCCTGGAGGGTGGGGGCACTGCTATCACCAGAAAGCTGAAGCCCCTGACTCTGCCATGGGCTCCTTGGCCGGGTTCCCTCTATGCCCCTTTGTCTGTGTTCCCCTGCAAAACACAGCAACTGTGTAGCCACCCCCTTGCAGCAAGTCCCAGGATCCAAGTCCACTGCCTACAGACTGCACTCCTTATAGGAAGTCTTGGTTTCCTGAGCGACAGACAATCTCACTTCCCACCAACACCAGAGCAGCAGGATTGCGAGAGTCAAGCTGAGGAGGGGGAAGAGAACAGAACAGAAAAGACCCTTTACTGACAGCAGGGCTGGTGCTGAGTAGGGGCACAAATTCTGCTCCCAAAGGTAGAGATTTGAGTCATCGGAACAGGTCTCCAGGTACATCTGCATGGGATCCAACTGGACCCTCAACACCTGCGCCATTGAGCAGGATTCCCTGCTCCCCAAGGTCAAGATCAAGTTTATATTTGCTCCAGGTCTGTAGTGTATCCCACCGTCAGTTGCTGGCCACCCATCCACTAAACAATGAGCTTCCTGGAGCCTGTGCTATGGCGTGGCGGGTTAAGCCCCGACCTGCGATGCCAGCATCCAGTGTGGCCAACGGTTTGAGTCCCAGCTGCTCCAATGCTTGTACAGCTCCCGGCTAACAGCCTGGGAAAGGTAGCAGAAAATGGTCCAAGTACCTGGACCCCTGCACCCATCTGGGAGACCTGGAGGAAGCTCCTGGCTCCTGGCTTTGGCCTGGCTCAACCCTGGCCATTGTAGCCATTTGGGAAGTGAACCAGTGGTTGGAAGATCTTCCTCTGTTCTGATTCTTGCCTTTCAGATCAATGTATAAATCTTTAAAAAAGCGAGCTTCCCTGTCCTCCTGGACTGTAGCCATCCCCTCCTGGAGCTCCTCCTACCTAGCTGGGCCACCTGGTTTGTTTCCAGACCCTTTATCAAGCTGTCACTGTGTCACACATTACCCTATAGACAACCAAAGATGGAGGTCGGCTTCCTGATACAGGATGGAGGTGGAGATTTGGGACTGGCAGTTGTAACACCAACTGCTGTGCCCACCCAAGAACGTCTCAGAGCTACCCTGCTCCCTCCCCCCCCCCACCCTAGGGACTTTTGGATCGACAGAAGGCTGTCCTTTCCCTTGGTGCCAGCTTCCAGTTGTCCAGTGGCCTCCGAGGGACCATCAGGGCCTCTGGTAGGTATCTGTGATCCTAGGACATTCCCTGGGATGTGGCAGCCTCCAAACCCCAGCGGCCTCCAGGTGCGGATAAATCTGCTCCCAGGCCCACTGGGCGCTGCTGGGACCCTTGGCAGCCTGGCTTCCTGAGCAGAAGCACACGCGACAACTCCTGGCTCCTCTCAGGAGGGCTCGGGCGGCCCCTTTTCCACACCCAGTCCTTTGGCACTCACAACGGGAGTTATGGACTCTGCCCCAAGTCTGCCCCTGGGGGTGGGGAAGGCCCCCAGACCCAGGACAGGCTGCAGGGTCTGGTTTATTTTAAGGGGGCCAGGAATAGGGAGTCGCTTGGCATGAACCCCAGCTGGGAGAGAGCTCCCTGTCTGGTGCACTCCTGCTCCCTGAAAGCGTGGGCTCCATCTCCCAGAACCCTGGAGCCATCCTGGTCAGGTCTGGCTTATTTCAGCCGACAAAACACAGAAACAGCCTGATTGCAGAACTGACCCGCACACCCTCCGTCTCAGCTCTTGTATTCACATTTGCAAAACTGGAATGAGAATGTCAAAGCACAACTGTGGCTGTGAGTTAATCTCGAGGGCTGTGCCTGTGCCTAGTGCATAGCAAGTGCTCCAGAAATGGCTGCTGCTGCTGGCAGGCAGCTGCGCCATGCTGAGACAGGAATTGAACAGAAGGTAGGATATACATGCCGAGCCCGGCCAGGTGGGCAGCGTCCTGCAGCGGCCGACCCCTGAGTGCCAGTCCTTCCTGCCAGAGGCTATGGGCTTTGTCTGCCTGCATAGGCATTGGCCCCTCTGCCTGTGACGTGTCCCTTGCTGTCTTCTTCCCCTCACTGTGTCACTTGGATGGCCTCAATCCGTCACCCAGCATCTGGCCTCGGTAAAGCAGAATAGGAGGTGGGGGCTCCCTCTGCAGAGCCAGCATGGAGGACAGCAACAGGGGAATTCTGTCCCTCCTGCCGGGTGCCCACTTGGCCATCAGCCTCGGGCTGCTTCACTGGTATTGGATCCCCAGCTCTTTCGCAGGAATATCCCATTATGTTTGGGGCCAGTGACTCAGACCTCAGATGAGGGGCTGGGCAAGGCCTCTGTCCTCTGCTATTGTCTGGCATCCACGTGGGCACACAGGGACCTCTACAAAAGGAGCCACCTCTACCTACAATAGTCGAGCAAGCGCTTAAAGCTCATGTCCTCTCCTCCTCCTCCTCCCATGACCTCACACAAAGTCTGTTTCAAGGTGGCAAGGGCTAGAAGGGGCCAAGGTGGCCAGTTCAGAAAGAAAATGAGACCAGGCTCTTCGTGCTGCCGACCCCAGGCCCATACCATCAGTAGAGATTCAGTGAACATGGTCAATGAGAGGCACCTGTGAGATTTGCTGGTCTCACTCTGTGTGTGTGTGTGTGTGTGTGTGTGTGTAATGCAGCCTTTTGTTTCTTTATTGATCTGTGATTCTCATATAGTAAAACTCATCCTTCTTCTATATAACGTTATCAATTTGGACAAACTTACAGAATGATGTCACCACCACCAAAAATCAAGAGAGAATAATCCCATCACCCCTCTCTCAACATTCCCCCCAATGCTCCTTTATAGTAAATCCCTTCCCTCCACCCCCTGGTTCCTGGCAGCTACTGATCTGTTGTCTGACCCTGCACTTCTGCCTTTTTTAGAAAGCTGCATGAACAGAATCAGAATCCCATAGTCTGTGACCTGGGAGTCTCTGGTTTCTCTCATTTAGCTCATTGCACGTGGTTGAGGTAGGACCTTCCTCCATGTTTTGGTAAAATAAAAATGAGGTCCACGGGGGGGAGGGCAGAGAAGGGTTGGAGGGCCCAGGCTCACCGTCCCGGTCCTGACTTGCACCCAACCCCTGAAGCCCATGGGCCACACTTAAGTAGGACAGCATCTTCTGTACGCCCCCAGATGCCCTGAGGAAGCACATGATAGCAGAGCTTGCACAGTGCACAGACTGTATGCTTTGCTTCCTGTGTGGAGACAAAGAGAAGCAGCAGGGCATATCACAAGGTGGTAGGGAGGGATGAGCTATAAAGGGTCAAGAGAGAACATTTGGTGGGAGCAGAATTATTCCCTGTCTTGATTTTTGGGTGGTAACATCATTGTATCCACAACTCTGTCTATCAGAACCAGCATTATTTGGTCAGTTAGCCACAAGTGCTTGGTGTGGCTCTGGGTGGGTGAACCCATACCACCAACTCTGGAGCTTCAAAGACCCCGATGCAGAATAGCAGAGTGATGAAAGCTAACAGGAAACAAAGTGCTGACACAGACCCCAGGGACACAGGGACACAGGGACCCAGGGACCCAGGGACACAGGGACCCAGGGACCCAGGGACCCAGAGCAGAGTGGTGCAGCCCTGATAACCAGGCTAAGGCGAGGTGACCCAGGAGTTGTTCATGAAAGGTCTCAAAATCCCAAAGTTAGCAGTATTGTGAACTCATGAGTTTAAATATATACCTGATTTATTTTCATCCATCACATTGGTCATCCTTATTGATGTTCAAAGATGATCCATCTTTGGCCAATAAGAACCTGAGTCCTTTAGACACAACCGTGGTAGTCTTTAATAACCTGCTGTCTGGGGTAGCAATATAATCCAGAATCATCCTTGTATTTCCTGCCCCATCCCTAAATTCCAAGTCAATCAAAATCTATGGAGGCTTGCCCATAAAACTGGGGGTCCTGTGATGGACTTCGCCTATGTGAACCTAGTCTCCTATGTCTCAGAGTATCAGAATTGAAAATTTCTTTTGGATGGCCGGCGCCACGGCTCACTAGGCTAATCCTCCACCTAGCGGCGCTGGCAGACCGGGTTCTAGTCCTGGTCGGGGTGCCAGATTCTGTCCCGGTTGCCCCTCTTCCAGGTCAGCTCTCTGCTATGGCCAGGGAGTGCAGTGGAGGATGGCCCAAGTGCTTGGGCCCTGCACCCCATGGGAGACCAGGAGAAGCACCTGGCTCCTGCCTTCGGATTAGCGCGGTGCGCCGGCTGCAGCGCACCAGCCACGGCGGCCATTGGAGGGTGAACCAACGGCAAAGGAAGACCTTTCTCTCTGTCTCTCTCTCTCACTGTCCACTCTGCCTGTAAAAATAAAAAAATTTCTTTTGGAAATTTTTCTAAAATTAGAACTCAAGAATCTCTGTAACAATCATCTAACCCAGAATCTTCTTCTTTCTACTGAATGGGAAACAGGAGCCCAGAGACATCAAGTGACTTAGACGGGGTCACCAGGGTTATGGCAGGGCACAAGTCACAGACAAGGCTCCCGACTCCCAGCCTCCTGTGCGTCCGCGGCCCTTCTTCTCTGTACATGTTCTACAGACACCTGCTCCACGGCCCACTCTTTGCTGTGTGTGTTGAGAGGTGGCCATAAAAAGTAGAAATAGCCTGATTTCAAAACTTAGACAAAGATTACTATAGTCAACGAAACATGTAGTGCTGGTATAGGGCGGACAAATAGAGTGAGGCCACAGACTTAAGAGCTCAGAAATAAACCCATACTTTTTAGTCCACTGGTTTTTAACAAGAGTGCCAAAACAATGCCATGGGAAAAAGAAGTCTCCCTACAAATCATTCT